CTCAAAAAAAAAAAAAGAAATACAAAAATTAGCTGGGCATGGGGGCACGCGTCTGTAGTCCCAGTTACTCGGGAGGCTGAGGCAGGAGAATCACTCAAACCCGTAAAGATGGAGGTTGCAGTGAGCCAAAATTGTGCCATTGCACCCAGCCTGGGCATCACGGTGAGACTCCGTCTCAAAGGAGACACTCAGATGATGGGTTCTGGGGAAGGGGCAATCTGGGTTGCTTCCTGGAGGAGGTGTCCTGTGGGCTTCAGCAGAGGAAGCTGTGGAGAAGCAGAAACAGGAGGCCTGGAGGCAAAGAGAGTTGCAGGTGGAGGAGGGTGAGGTTTGGGGTGCAGGAAGAGGGTCTGGATCGGGGTGGAGATGCCCACAGGATTTTGGGTTTTGTGCTAAACCCGGATGCTGCCCTTGAGCCAAGGAGCAGGGCGTAAGAACTGTGCCCTGGAGATGCCGGGAGCCACAGACGCGTGTGAGCAGGTGTGTGCGACCTTTGGAAACGCTCCTGGAGCTGACTCAACAGCAACCTGGACCCTTGAGAGAGGGCGAAGAACCTGGGGCACTGGGTCAGGGTGTCACCCGCAGGCCCCACGGCCCCACCCTGCAGGGCTGGAGGGCCCCACAGGGTCGTGGGGTGTCCCTTATGCTGTGCTGAGGTGCAGGGTCTGAGAAGTAAAGAGGCCGGACACTGAAGAACCAGAGGAAAGCAGCCGGACTCGGGGGGCCAGGCCACTGTGAGCAGAGATCAGTGGGGGGTACCCCAAATGCCCAGGAGCCTCTGTATTTATTAGGTACAAGCAGGGGGCAGGGTCGTGAGTGAGGCTTAGTGATAGGGCATACGTAACCACGTGAGTCACGGCGAGGGGGCCACCCCATTATGTCTCCTGGGCAGAGAGGTGGGCAGCGCGCAGTAGGGGGCCGTGCCGTGCGCAGTGGTAGAGGGTCGTGTACAGAAAAGGGGTCCACCCCCATTAGGTCACCGAGGCAGAGGTGGGCTGTGTGCAGCAGGTGTCGTGTGCAACACTTCTTACCTGGGGGCTGAGACTGTAAGCCAGTGCAGTGGGAGCTGACAGACGTGTGCTCTTCTCTAAGATGTTTATGGGGGCCGGGCGTGGCGGCTCACACCCGTAATCCAAGCACCTTGGAGGTCAAGGCGGGCGGATCACCTGAGGTCGGGAGTTCAAGACCAGCCTGACCAACGTGGTGAAACCCCGTCTTATATATATATATATATATATGTATGTATACAAATCATTTTTATATATATAAATCATTTTTATATATATTATATATAATATATATATAAAGATATTTATGGGAGGATGATTTGAGCCAGCACAGAAGCGAGAAAAGACTGACAGGGTGCACAGCCACCGTGACTGGTCACACCAGAGGGTTCTTCTCCCGAGGTTACTTCCAGGGTCTCAGGCCTGAGGCCGACTTTCCACAGGAGCTGGATGCGAGGTGCTACAACTCCTTTATCAGGAGGAGAGGCTCCTGCTCCAGGCCTGCCCTACGGCGTTTGCCCTTTCAGGCAGGGACGCCACCGCCGGGGTCTCTGGTTCTCGTCCTGGTCTGGCTGTTTTCCATGTGCTGCTTCTGTTCTGTGACTGCTCTGGGCATTCCTCCTACTACAGACTACTATGTGGTTCTATGGAAGGATTCTATAAATCAGCACTGAATGTGTCGGTACAGCTCCGACTACAATACCTATGTGATTATATAGAAAGATTATACAGAGGCCGGGCGCAGTGGCTCACGCCTGTCATCCCAGCACTGTGGGAGGCCGAGGCGGGTGGATCACGAGGTCAAGAGATCGAGACCATCCTGGTCAACACGGTGAAACCCCGTCTCTACCAAAAATACAAAAATTCAGCTGGGCATGGTGGCACGCACCTGTAATCCCAGCTACTCGGGAGGCTGAGGCAGGAGAATTGCCTGAACCCAGGAGGCGGAGGTTGCGGTGAGCCGAGATCGCGCCATTGCACTCCAGCCTGGGTAACAAGAGCGAAACTCCGTCTCAAAAAAAAAAAAAAAAGGAAGATTATATAGAACTAGGTATAAGTAGTAAGTATGATTGTATAAGGTAGATCTATGTAAGCAGTAAGTTATACTTCAGGCCCTGATTCTGTAAACTAATACGTGATTATGTATAAAGATTCTATAAAGGAAACAGCTGAGCACTAACACCATAAACTAAGATACTCCTCAGGCACTACTGTGCCCGGGGTCTGGACGGTTCTCCTTCCTCGGTGCCCATGGGGGCGTCACCCACACCACGTGGCCCAGCGGGACAAGGTCCAAGGCATTCCTTTGCCCATCCTCACTTTATGGCGACAAGGCCCGGGCCAGGGTGTTGTCTTAGATGGGACAAGGTGTCCAGCTGGGCAGGGCAGGGTGGAGAACCAGGATGCGGGAGCCGGGAAACCGGAGTTGCTGTCACTCCCTCACCTCTCTGGGCCTCAGTGTCTCCATTTGACATCCCTCAGGAAGGGGCCATCTGTAATTGTCAGATGAAAAAGTCCCTCACCAGGAGTCTCAGGGTGGGTTCAGGGTTGAAAGGGTCTGTGCCCAGGAGACACAGGGGGCCCAGGGAGGCTTCAAAGACCAAGGCTGAGGCTGGGCACGGTGGCTCACGTCTGTAATCCCAGCACTTAGGGAGGCCGCGGTGGGAGGATCACCTGATATCAGGAGTTCTAGACCAGCCCGGTCAACATGGTGAAATCCCGTCTCTACTAAAAATACAAAAATTACCTGGGCATGGGGCACACGCCTGTAGTCCCAGCTACTCAGGAGGCCGAGGCAGGAGAATCGCTGGCACCGGAAGCTGCTCCTCCCCCTAGGTGCTCTGATGTGACGGCCATCATTTCCTTCTCCTCCCTCAGTGAGCCCGGAGGTCTCCAGCACATACGAGGAAGGTCAAGGCCAAGACCCCGGAGGAGATGGACCGTGTGACCAGATACCCCATCCTGGGCATCCCGCAGGCACACCGCGCCACCGGCCTGGCGCTGGAGGGAGACACCAGCCACACGTACCACCTGGTGTGCTCCGGCCCCGAGGCCAGCGGCTGGGGCCAGGACGAGCCTCAGGCCTGGCCCGCCGACCACAAGGCCCAGCCGGGCGTGGCCAGGCAGGTGCTCTACAGCACGCACGCCCGCCCTGGCTGGCCGTCCCCACGGGGGCCCCACCTGGAGAACGGGGAGGACAAGGATTCGCAGGTTTACCGCCTGGGCGCCAGGGAGGCCCAGCAGGGACGCCCAGCCCGGGCCCGCCACCTGGAGAACGGGGAGGATGAGGAGATGAAGGCTTTCCACCTGGGCGCCAGGGAGGCCAGCCCCAGGAGGCCGTGGGACCTGGAGCGGGAGCGCTGGGCCGTCATCCAGGGCCAGGCTATCAGGAAAAGCGGCACCGTGGCCACGCTCCAGGCCACCCCTGACCACGGAGAGCCCAGGATCCCCGGCCCACCTCGGTCCACGCCCCTGGAGGACAACATGGTTGACACGGAGCAGATTGACTTCCTGGCAGCGAGGCAGCAGTTCCTAAGTCTGGAGCAGGTGAACAAGGAGGTTCCCCATAGCTCCCCAGCCAGGGGGGACCCTGCAGGGACAGCCCCAGGGATCAGCCAGGCCCCCAAGACCCTCCACAAGCCCCACCTGGCCAACGGGCACGTAGTCGCCATCAAGCCCCAGGTGAAGGGGGTGGTCAGGGAAGAGAAAAGGGTGCAAGGTGTGCCCACCTGGGCCACTGCCCACGCTGTGAATGTCCCTGGCTCCCTGGCGCCAGTGGAGTCCCCGGAGACCCCCAGGGAGACCCCCATCGAGCGGGAGATCCGACTGGCTCAGGAGCGTGAGGCGGACCTGCGAAAGCAGAGGGGGCTTCAGCGGGCGGCCGACCACCAGGAGATGGTGGAAATCCCCACCCGGCCGCTGCTGACCAAGGCGAGCCTGACCACAGCCCCAAGGCGGGATAGAGGGCACCCGTCCCTGTACGTGCAGCGGGACATGGTACAGGAGACGCAGCGCCAGGAAGACCACCGGCGGGAGGGCCTGCAGCTGGGCCGGGCGTCCACACCCGACTGGGACCCCGAGGATGCCCAGCCTGGCCTCCGGAGAGCTCTCAGCTCGGACTCCATCCTCAGCCCGGCCCCAGACGCCCGCGCGGCTGACCCAGCTCCAGAAGTGAGGAAGGTGAACCGCATCCCGCCTGATGCCTACCAGCCGTACCTGAGCCCCGGGACCCCCCAGTTAGAATTCTCAGCCTCTGGCGCATCCGGCAAGCCCGGCAGTCTCTCCACCATTGAGGCCAAGGCTTCCACGACACCAAAGGCCACGATGTCCCCGAGGCATCTCTCAGAATCCTCTGGAAGACCCCTGAGCACAAAGCAAGAGCACTTGAAGTCCCCTGGGGGACCCCTGCGAGCAGACGGGGGTGTCGTGCGGTGGGAGTACTTCCGTCTGCGTCCTCTGCGGTTCAGGGCCCCAGACGTGCCCCAGCAGGCCCAAGTCCCCGCCGTCTGGGGCTGGGAGGTGGCCGGGGCCCCGGCGCTGAGGCTTCAGAGGTCCCAGTCGTCCGATCTGCTGGAGAGGGAGGTGGAGAGCGTCCTTCGCCGGGAGCGAGAGGTGGCAGAGGAGCGGAGGAATGCCCTCTTCCCAGAGGTCTTCTCCCCAACGCCAGATGACAGCTGCGATGAGGGTTCCAGGAGCTCCTCCCAGGCGTCCGGTGAGAAGGGGCTCCAGGGAGTGGCTGCTTGGCGCAGGGTCTCAGAGGCTGGAGCAGGGGAGGGCGGGGAGGTGGAGGTTGAGGGTGTCGGGAAGGGGTGGGGTTGGGGAGACATCGCCTCCTGACTGTGTTCCTCCCCCTCAGTCTGCTGGTTTGTCTGCCTGTCTACGAAAAATGCAGATTTTGGTCAGAAGTGACAACTGTGCTTTAGGGCTTTTGCTTTATGGATTTGGATGTCTTGTTGTTAGGCGCATAATTTTTTTTTTTTGAGACAGAGTCTGGCTCTGTCGCCCCGGCTGGAGCGCAATGGTGCCACCTCGGCTCCCTGCAACCTCCGCCTCCGGGGTTCAAGCGATTCTCCTGCCTCAGCCTCCCAAGTAGCTGGGATTACAGGCACCCGCCACCACGCCCGGCTAATTTTTGTATTTTTAGTAGAGACAGGGTTTCACCATGTTGACCAGGATGGTCTCAAATTTCTGACCTCAAGCGATCCACCTGCCTCGGCCTCCCAAAGTGCTGGGATTACAGGCGTGAGCCACCGCGCCCGGCCTGTTGGTGTATGTTCATCCACTTGGATGATTGCACTTTTTTGTCAATATGAAATATTTCGGCCAGGCGTGGTGGCTCACGCCTGTAATCCAAGCACTTTGGAGGCCAGGGCGGGCGGATCACCTGAGGTCGGGGGTTCAAGACCAGCCTGATCAACATGGTGAAACCCCATCTTAAAAAAAAAAAAAAAAAAAAAAAAAAAAATTTCTTGTGTCGCTTTTAATGTTCTCCACCTTGCACGTGTGCCCATCCGTCCACGCGGGTTCTCCTGACCGGCGACTTTGGTCTGTCTGCTCTGTCCACACAGCTGTCTCCCTAACTGCGCTAGGCTGTTGGTTAGAGGCCCCGTCTCCCGAGCTGAGGTCTGACAAACCTTCTCATGTTCTGCCCTCCCTGCTCCCCACCCAGGCATCACGGGCAGCTACTCAGTGTCTGAGTCTCCGTTCTTCACCCCCATCCACCTGCACTCAACCCTGGCGTGGACGGCAGAAGATCCAGGTGACAGCGCTTCTCCCGGGCAGAGAAGGAAGGAGCAGTGGGTGAGTCTGGAGCCGGGTCCGCAGAGACCAGGCTGAGGTCACACAGCCCCCGTAGGGCCCCGGGAGGCTCCAGCAGGACTCAAGCCTGACCTGGGCTCAAGCACCGTCTCCCTCGCTGCCCACTGCTGGCTGTGCCTCAGTCTCCCAAAGACGTCAGATAAAGGATGATAAGTTGGTGCCCTCCTGTCTCTGCACTTCTGCTTGGAGAGGCCACAGAAACTGGGGTCTTTGTCCCAATCGGGAGGTCATCTCCACCATCAAAAACTAAAGGACCGGCCAGGCATGGTGGCTCACGCCTGTAATCCAGGCACTTTGGAGGCCAAGGCGGGCGGATCACCTGAGGTCGGGAGTTCAAGACCAGCCTGACCAACGTGGTGAAACCTCGTCTTTAAAAAAAAAAACGAAAGGACCAATTCTGCTTGGAGGAAGAGGACAGTGGCAATTTATCATTATTCTTGCCAGCATTATTTTATTATTTTTATTTTATTTATTTTGAGACGGAGTCTCACTCTGTCGTCCAGGCTGGAGGGCAATGGCGCATTCTCGGCTCACCGCAACCTCTGCCAACCGGGTTCAAGTGACTCTCCTGCCTCAGCCTCCCAGGCAGCTGGGATTACAGGTGCACACCACCATTCCTGGCTAATTTTTGTATTTTTTTTTTTTTTGAGACGGAGTTTCGCTCTTGTTACCCAGGCTGGAGTGCAATGGCGCAATCTTGGCTCACCGCAACCTCCGCCTCCTGGGTTCAGGCAATTCTCCTGCCTCAGCCTCCTGAGTCGCTGGGATTACAGGTGCACACCACCATTCCTGGCTAATTTTTGTATTTTTTTTTTTTTTGAGACGGAGTTTCGCTCTTGTTACCCAGGCTGGAGTGCAATGGCGCAATCTTGGCTCACCGCAACCTCCGCCTCCTGGGTTCAGGCAATTCTCCTGCCTCAGCCTCCTGAGTCGCTGGGATTACAGGCACGCGCCACCATGCCCAGCTAATTTTTTGTATTTTTAGTAGAGACGGGGTTTCACCATGTTGACCAGGATGGTCTCGATCTCTTGACCTCGTGATCCACCCGCCTCGGCTTCCCAAAGTGCTGGGATGACAGGCGTGAGCCACCACGCCCAGCTAATTTTTGCATTTTTAGTAGACGGGGTTTCACCATGCTGCTCAGCCCAGGCTGGTCTCGAACTCCTGACCTCGAGATCCACCCACCTCAGCCTCCCAAAGTGCTGAGATTGCAGGAGTGAGCCACCGTGCCCAGCCATTCTTTTTTTGAGACAGAGTCTCGCTCTGTCACATGGGCCAGAGTGCAGCGGCACAATCTCGGCTCACTGCAACCTCTGCCCCTGGGTTCAAGTGATTCCCCCGCCTCAACCTCCCAAGTAGCTGGGATTACAGGTGCCTGCCACCATGCCTGGCTCATTATTTTGTATTTGTAGTAGAGACAGGATTTTACCATGTTGGCCAGGCTGGTCTCAAACTCCTGACTTCAGGTGATCCGCCCACCTCGGCCTCCCAAAGTGCTGGGATGACAGGCAAGAGCCACCACAACTGGCCGGAATATTATGTGTTAATGGTAATTGAGGGGGTCACTCTCTTCCCTGGGTAGGACGTCAGGGACACTGCTGAGACGAACACAAAGCCCAGCCTCACTCTCCTGATGCTCAGAGCATGACCCCATGGTTCAGGGCACAGCCTGGAGCCCACTGGCCCAGTTCCTGCCTTGACCCCTCCACTCGCTGGCCATGGGACCTCGGGCAAGCCGCAGTCCCCCTCTGGTCCTGGGTCTCCTCCTCTGTAAAATGAGACCCCCCGAGCCTCCACGGTAGGATGCAATAGGATCATGCATGTCAAGCGCTGGTGGCAAGGCCTGGCCACCGTGAAAGCACCACAGGTGCTGCCTGTGTGGGTTATGACAAACTGAAATAAAGTCATCACAAGCCTGTCAGCCCAGCACTCTGGGAGGCCGAAGCAGGCAGATCATTTGAGGTCAGGAGTTTGAGACCACCCTGGCCAACGTGGTGAGACCCCATCTCTACTAAAAATACAAAAATTAGCTGGGTGTGGTGGCGGGTGCCTGTAATCCCAGCTACTCAGGAGGCTGAGGCAGAACTGCTTGGCCTAGGAGGTGGAGGCTGCCGTGAGCCAAGATCACGCCACTACACTCCAGCCGGGGCGACAGGGCAACACTCAAACTCTAAATAAAGAAAGAAAGAAATAAAGAAGGCCCGGCGCGGTGGCTCACGCCTGTAATCCCAGCACTTTGGGAGGTCGAGATGGGCGGATCACCTGAGGTTGGGAGTTCAAGACCAGCCTGGTCAACATGGAGAAACCCCGTCTCTACTAAAAATACAAAATTAGCCGGGCGTGGTGGTGGGCGCCCGTAATCCCAGCTACTTGGGAGGCTGAGGCAGGAGAATCACTTAAACCCATGAGGTGGAGGTGGCAGTGTGCCAAGACTGTGCCATTGCACTCCAGCCTGGGCAACAAGAGTGAAACTCTGTCTCAAAAATAATAATAATAAAATTTAAAAATCATGAATGGGGTTGGGCACGGTGGCTCACGCCTGTAATCCCAGCACTTTGGGAGGC